GCGCCGCGTGTGTGGAGACGGGCCTGTAGTAGTAGTATTAGTAGGTAGAGTGTAGGGGTAGTATTAGTAGGTAGAGTGTAGGGGTAGTATTAGTAGGTAGAGTGTAGGGGTAGTATTAGTAGGTAGAGTGTAGGGGTAGTATCAGTAGGTAAAGTGTAGGGGTAGTAGTAGTAATCTCTGGAAACGTTTAGTGATGAGTTATTTGTAGTCACTGCTTGTAGAGATGTGCCGATAACCACATTGTTACCAGCACTTGTTTCAGTTACCGGCACTCGCTTCAATTCTGCTTCAGTGATTCCCACGACGACGAAAAGAACGGTCCGGGAACACTGGGTAATATAGTTGCCGAGAAGTCGATGGCCATGGAGGTAACATGACAGCGTATAGAGGAGGCAAAAGATATCTTGGAACGCATCGGGACGTTTGCCAACCACGGCGCACAACGTGAGCCACACCGTCGCGGTTTCTCGTAGCGGGCGCACGCACCCCCATCGTGTTGCACCAGGCTTCACCGAAATTCAGCTGGTTGACTGTACCTTGGACTCACGCAAGCCGAACGTGACCGCACGCCCACATCCAATACCTACAGCCTCGGTCGCCCGTCACCACCACCACCACCACCACGTCACGTCACGAGAGCGTAGCTTCACGGAAGCCATGCTAAAGTCGCAATGCTAGCCGTCATGTCTATGCAGCGAATGCGTGTCTCTGTCGAGTTGCTGCTACTCGGGTGGCGTGGGACGTACTCTGTCAGGACGGTGACGGGTCGTTCGATCGTCTCGCGTTGATACATACACCGGGTTACTGCTGACCGAAGTTTGTGTGAGCTAAATGATGTAACTGCGTTTGGCGGCTCCGCAACGCGAAGGCTTTACCTCCCACACACGGTGTGCGGCTCTCGTACTTGTGATCACAGCTGTAAACGGTGCCAACGTTTGTGCCACTCGCGTTCGTCCTGCCTTTGATAAAACCGATATGTGTGCACATTTGACCGTTTCTGTAACTTTGCTTTGTGTTGGACAGATCTCTGAGTGGTCAGACGGGCAGGGTAGGTAGGTGAGTGAGTGACTGAGCAAGCGGACTGTGAGTTGTGTAGCCGGTGTAAGGGGGGATCACCCATCAGCAGCGAGATGAAACCAAAAAAAATATCGTTGATGTCGCCGTTAAAAAAATGCGAAGGAAGTGTGATTCCTTACTCGGGTCTTTTTTTCTCGGTGGTCTGTGTCCGTTTTGTAAATGCCACCCCCTTTCCCCGATCGGTTTCTGCCTTTTACCTTTCATGTGTTTTTCCTTCACCTTATTGTGTAAGGTATGTCCGTGTATGTAATGTAATGTGACGGCTTCATTGTCAGTGCAACTGCACCTGCTATTTCTAAACTTTTATAGAGTTCAATTCATAATTTCCTCAGACAGCAAAACCCACTACATGGAGGTATTTAATAGTAGTGCACAACTGTAAAGTAAGCACAGGTGTTTTGGGGCTCTAAATTTCAATTATTTCTGATTAATAGCTTTACAGCTAGTGGCGACGTAAAAACTGCAGTCTGGTCTTGTTTGCGGATCTGGCAAATGTTCTTGCAAATCCTCGCTGTTCTTGGCATAAAATTTTAATTAGATGGAGTGTGATATCTTGATGTTCCCGTCTGGTCTCTAATTAGATAAGCAGCCAGAACAAACTGTTATTGTCGGGTGGGGGTAGTAGTTGTAAGACGCTTGTTGTCTTGGTGTAGAGTTTCTAACAAAAACCCATAAAAATCGGATGCATTCTTGGGGAAATTCATTGATTATTCATACGAACGTTACAATGTCTGACTGCTGTAAGATTGTGGCTACTGGTTTGTAGCTGTTTTTACAGTTAGTGCACCCGTAGCATGGTGGGGGTACTGCACCGTAGTATGGTAATTGCACTTAATGCGATTCTGCCTGTCGCTGTGGGAAATTCATCGCAAAATCTGAGATCACTACACCACAGTGCCATCTGTTGGTAGAATGTATCATTTTCTCAGCAAATGATTGTATTGTAAATATTGCTTTAGATTGAAATTGTATATAGAAAATTGTCGACTTAGTGCGCTCTTTCATAGAATGACTCACCCCACCTGAGGTGCTGTATGGATTGTAGTTGGCCCTAGTCATTTTCACTTATCGGTAATTGTAATGAGTGTCCCAATATTGATTGTGCACTAATTAACCGAAGCCACCCAGCCAATGTAGGTTCATTGATGTGCTACTTGTGGAGGCACAGTCGCACACGAGCCACGATTCGGGCGAGACTTCAGGTGTCTTTCCACTACGACGTAATTTAATAACACTAATGAGGTAGCCTGGGGAAACATCATTACCATGCTTTTGGTTGCGGGGTGTAATCGGTTGGCTAGTGCATAATAACGCGCATAGTACCTGTGTGAAAATGACCTGTTCCATCCCGTAGCGGCATATGGGACAATTCGTGGCATCTCAAGTGGAATGATTTATTTATAAAATGGGATGGGCGCCTAAAATATTGACAAAAGAAGGTTTCAACCTCAGTTACTGTGATATATTGTACAAATAAATGCATGCATCCTGAGTAGGCGATGCCTTGCAAAGCATGATCTAAGTGTTTGCCCACGTTGTGTAGTTCGAGTCTATAAGTGGTGTGGATGTTTCGGAGCATTTAGGTGGCATTTGTTCGGTGCTCGCCGAGTATTGTGCCACATTTCCAGAGGAAAGTTTTGTACAGATCTCTATTAACAGTGCAAACAGTGTGATTTAAAAATTTGTACTGTGAGTTTGTAAGTGGAGAGTTATTAGTGAATTAACCTGTACTGAAAGAAACAATTGACTTCGGAGATAAATGCGCATGGGTGCTTCTATGCGCAAACTGGGACTTTATTACAGTATTTAATAATTATTAAAAATGTTGTTCACCTTGAGGTTCGTATAGCTTAATAATAAAAAAACAGCGAAGAACAAACTCAATGGCATCATATGCTTTACAACGCGCGAAATTAACTCAAATGCAAGTTAAACATTTGCGGTACAGGAATCTTTCTCACGTGGCTTATTGTGCGGCAGTTGTTTCGATTTTCGATCGTGGCATCTGCAGTCCTCTGGTGTCATCGGCTTAACTACACCTAGTAATCGTGGCATGCGCCTGTGGTATCTTGAGAGAAATCGCAGTTTCGATGTCAGGGCCGTACGCAGCAGGGGGGGCAGCAGGGGCAGTTGCCCCCCTAGAGTATGCCTTTTAATGGGACAAATACTGTACACTTTTAAAAATATAAATGTGACAAAAGGTTATCTTAAATCATCAAAGAAATATTACACTTTAAATAAAGAAATGTGAAATTGCGAAACGTTAGGGCACAGGGGGCATGGTGAGTACCTTTGTCCCTCTACAGAAAATTTACTGCGTACGGCCTTGTCGATGTGTGCTATGAAATCCGATTGGTCCCACTCGGTAGCTCAGAGATATGCAAATTCTCCCTTGGTAATACACTGCACACTTGATGCGTGAAATGTTGTAGTATTATTGGGTCTTTCAGACGCTATCAGATTTGTACAAAACTTGCAGTGTACAGCATTTTATTTTTTAAAATTCAAAATCAAAATAAATAATGTCTATAGAGCCAGTATAAATGTTTTTTATACAATTTAACAGCAGCGATTTTGCGTATTTATTCTTTCCTTTTTGCTTCTAACTTTTTGGACAGTGAAAGCTTAACAGTATCACAGAGCCTACTTTTATATCAGTCTTTCAGCGAATAACTCCCTGCTGTAATATTGATTATAGTTCGTATATATTCTTTAAATAAGTATGGTTTCGTTACAACAACTCTTCCGTCTGTGGAACATAGCATGACGGACGATGATTAAGGGAGTTTAAGAGCGTTAATTTACCGGTCAACTTTACTCGGTCGATCATAGGGACCGAATTTGGTCCTAATTTTATTAGCAATAACAGCTCCCCTCGGTGTATAACAAGGTATCCTGTCGTAGTAGGTTCAACTTCACTGGCAGAAGGCTGATACATCTTTAAACAGCTGAGCCGACATAACGTGATAAAAATGGTTTTGTAGCAGGGGTGAATAATGACAATGAATTTGTCATTAGTCATCCCTGGTAGTAGTAGTGGTATCAGGAGTGAATAATAATAGATTATTAATTATTATAAATATTATTAGTTAATATAGCGAAGTCATTAAAGTTACACAGCTATATCTTTATTACTGTACTACCGGTATAGCAAAGCCTATCAACGCGGTGGCATGAGGGCGCACTTGATTCGGTTGCCAGTGAGTTTATCAGAAGAATACCCGGCTACAGTACACGTCAACACGCGACAACACGTCAGTTGAGCGCTGTCGCTCTACGGCACTTGTTACATATAAATACATTATATACATATAAGTATGAGTAGCTGTTATGAATAAGAGCTTTTTTCATCAACAAACAACAAGAACAACATTCAATAACAGTTTCTTTCATGCAGCTAATTATATATGCCTATACCTGTTTCATATTCTGCTACTCTGGATGCTGATGTATGCACTAAAAGTTGATACAGTATGTAAATATGAAACCTTTTTTTTTTCAGGATAAAAGCCCAGTCGTCGACATTTCTCAGAACTTGGCACATTCCCAACAACCAACTCTGCCGCCTCTACTGTCACGACTCACGCTCGATTCCGCAACCGCTCAGTTTGCTGCGTCCGCGGTCGTGGATACAGCGCCCTCTAGCGGCACGTTGGGTAGCAATTTGTCGGCGGCGCCTGCGGCTGTGTCGGACAGACGACCGTGTGCAACGACCGTTAGCTTACAGAACGGACCTAGAGACGGTGAGTGGTTTACACGTGTCCTCGGTGTGTGCAAAGAAAGGTTGTTGTTGTTGTACGAAGCGGGTTAAGCCCTGCTCAGGTCGCCCTACGATTTGACTATCGGCGACTACTTTATCGCCGATTAGCAGCGTAGCAACACTCACGTCGACTTGAAGTGACTTCACGCTGTACATCGCCGATCAGATTGTAGCGTTCTGCAGGAAACGTAGACGGGTTTGCGGCCCCAGTATTTTGTACTAGCACAAGCAGTTCTTTAGCACAAACAGAGCAAGCTTGACGCCGGGACCAGTCTACATAAAACGAGTCACATGACCAACAAAACGGCGTTTAACAGTAAACATCAGGTAACTTCGTAAATCTATCCTCAATTTTCTGAAAATCGTTATAATCATGTGCAGAAAAAGAATTTTAAAAATTGTCTGTGATATACGGGAAACTTCATATACATTTGAGAAAGGGTTTGTGCAATAATCCCCCCTTGTAAACTGCTGTGTAGGCTGCCATTTTGTTAATCACGTGACTTTTGATAATCATGTGACTCGACACGTAGCAGTGATTGGTTGCCACTCATGATTTGTCGCCGACCGCCGCATAGAAATAGAACCGTTTCTATTCCTGCGATCGCAGTCGGCGACCGTATTTTCGATCGTAAGAGAACTCATGTCGAGTTTAGTCGCCGATGTTTTTATCAGGGATCTGGCCGGTTTTTGACATACGATCTTCAAATTTTGTCGGCGACTAGGTCGTGAGGGCGACCTGAGTTAGCCTTCAGAGACAACTACTGTCTCATGATGTGTCACTTGTTTTTTTTCGCCATTTCTGCTTCCTTGTTTCGCTAAGAAAAGAAGAGAGCAAAAGCGATTGGGATTGCCAACCCCTATTTTTGATTTTTAAACCTCTGCACTGAAGTGAATCTTGGTACGTGCTATTTAAAGGGATACATTTCTTTAGGTTCTTTGGATATTTTACGTTCAAATAGGTTGAAATTACTCTACATAAAAAGCTTTATGGTTCAATGTTTATTAGAAATTTTCTTTTAATGTTTTAAAACTGACGGCTATACCTTTGCTTACAACGACGGTGGCGCCATGTAATGTTTTGCCGTCTTTCGTCGTCGGGTGGTGTATTTTTTTCATCGTTTTGCGCTTTTCGTCTTTGTTCAGGACATCTGCCATCGACAGCGCCATCTACGCCCGTGCTACAGCTGAATTACCCGCTCTCGTTCTCGTCGCGTGCCTCGGTGCAGGCGGCGGCGACGGCGACGATCGCAAACGCCGCCGCGACGCCGTCGCCGAACCACCCGGTCGCCGTGGTTACGAACGCGATGGGTGGGTCGGCGGGGATGCGGGTGCTGACGACGTACAAGCCGGCGATGAATCCACCTGTCGTTCCCGTCCTGAAGGTGGCGACACCGGCAGCCGGCGTGCCGGCGGACGCCGTCAGCAAGTGAGTGCGCAGACTCGCGCGCCGTCGTCGTAGTGGACGCCCGGCGAAGGAGGGAGAGATTTGCCGCACATAAGCCACGTGAGAAAGATTCCTGTACCGCAAATGTTTAACTTGCATTTGAGTTAATTTCGCGCGTTGTAAAGCATATGATGCATTGAGTTTGTTCTTCGCTGTTTTTATTATTTTAAGCTATACGAACCTCAAGGTGAACAACATTTTAATAATTATTAAATACTGTAAATAAAGTACCAGTTTGGCGCATAGAAGCACCCATGCGCATTTATGCTCTCCGAAGTCAATTGTTTCTTTCAGTACAGTTTAATTCACTAATAACTCTCCACTTACAAACTCACAGTACAAATTTTTAAATCACACCTGTTTGCACTGTATATAGAGATCTGTACAAACTTTCCTCTGGAAATGTGGCACAATACTCGGGCGAGCACCGAACAAATGCCACCTAAATGCTCCGAAACATCCACACACTTATAGACTCGAACTACACAACGTGGGCAAACACTTAGATCATGCTTTGCAAGGCATCGCCTATCAGGATGCATGCATTTATTTGTACAATATATCACAGTAACTGAGTTGAAACCTCTTTTTGTCAATATTTTAGGCGCCCATCCATTTTATAATAAATCATTCCACTTGAGAATGCCAGCGAAATTGTCCCATATGCCGCTACGGGATGGAACAGGTCATTTTCACACAGGTACATGCGAGTTATTATGCACTAAGCCAACCGATTACATCCCGCAACCAAAAGCATGGTAATGATGTTTCCCCAGGCTACCTCATTAGTGTTATTAAATTACGTCGTAGTGGAAAGACACCTGAAGTCTCGCCGAATCGTGGCTCGTGTGCGACTGTGCTCCCACAAGTAGCACTCAATGAACCTACATTGGCTGGGTGGCTTCGTTAATTAGTGCACAATCAATATTGGGACAACTCATCACAATTACCGATAAGTGAAAATGACTAGGGCCAACTACAATCCATACAGCACCTCAGGTGGGGTGAGTCATTCTATGAAGAAGCGCGCACTAAGTCGACAATTTTCTATATACAATTTCAATCTAAAGCATATTTACAATAACATCATTTGCTGAGAAAATGATACATTCTACAACAGATGGCACTGTGTGTAGTGATCTCAGATTTTGCGATGAATTTCCCACAGCGACAGGCAGAATCGCATTAAGTGCAATTACCATACTACGGTGGCAGTACCCCACCATGCTAGCGGGTGCACTAACTGTAAAAACAGCTACAAACCAGTAGCCACAATCTTACAGCAGTCAGACATTGTAACTGCGTATGAATAATCATGAATTTCGCCCAAGAATGCATCCGATTTTTATGGCTTTTTGTTAGAAACTCTAACACCAAGACAACAAGCGTCTTACAACTACTACCCACACCGACAATAACAGTTTGTTCTGGCTGCTTATCTAATTAGAGACCAGACGGGAACATCAAGATATCACACTCCATCTAATTAAAATTTAATGCCAAAGACAGCGAGGATTTGCAAGAACATTTGCCAGAATCCGCAAACAAGACCAGACTGCAGTTTTTACGTCGCCACTAGCTGTAAAGCTATTAATCAGAATAATTGAAATTTAGAGCCCCAAACACCTGTGCTTACTTTACAGTTGTGCACTACTATTAAATACCTCCATGTAGTGGGTTTTGGCTGTCTGAGGAAATTATGAATTGAACTCTATAAAAGTTTAGAAATAGCAGGTGCAGTTGCAGCTGACAATGAAGCCGTCACATTACAATACATAACACGGACATACCTTACACAATAAGGTAAGGAAAAACACATGAAAGGTAAAAGGCAAGAAACCGATCGGGAAAGGGGTGGCATTACAAAACGGACACAGACCACCGAAAAAAAGACGCCGAGTAAGGAATCACACTTCCTTCGCATTTTTTTAACGGCGACATCACGATATTTTTTTGGTTTCATCTCGCTGGCTGATCGGTGATCCCCCCTTACACGCGGCTACACAACTCACAGTCGCGCTCGCTCAGTCACTCTCCTACCTACCCTGCCGTCTGACCACTCAGAGATCTGTCCAACACAACAGCAAAGTTAGAGAAACGGTCAAATGTGCACACATAATGCGGTTTTATCAAAGGCAGGACGAACGCGAGTGGCACAAACGTTGGCACCGTTTACACGTTTGTGATCACAAGTACGAGAGCCGCACACGCGTGTGTGGGAGGTAAAGCCTTCACGTTGCGGAGCCGCCAAACGCAGTTACATCATTTAGCTCACACAAACTTTCGGTCAGCAGTAACCCCGGTGTATGTATCAACGCGAGACGATGCGAACGACCCGTCACCGTCCTGACAGAGTACGTCCCACGCCACCCGAGTAGCAGAACTCGACAGAGACACGCATTCGCTGCCATAGACTATGACGGCTAGCATTGCGACTTTAGCATGGCTTCACGTGACGCTACGCTCTCGTGACGTGGTGGTGGTGGTGGTGGTGACGGGCGACGGAGGCTGTAGTATTGATGTGGGCGTGCGGCCACGTTCGGCTTCGTGAGCAAGGTGCAGTCGACCAGCCTGAATTTCGGTGAAGCAGGTGCAAACACGATGGGGTGCGTGCGCCCGCTACGAGAAACCGCGACGGTTGTGGCTCACGTTGTGCGCCGTGGTTGCAAAGCGTCCGCGAGCGTTCCAAGATATCTTTTGGGCCTCCTCTATACGCTTCATGTTACCTCCATGGCATCGACTTCTCGGGCAACTATATTACCCATGTTCGCCCGACGGCGTTCTTATTCGTGGCGTCGTGGGAATCACTGAAGACAGAATTGAAAGGCGATGCCGGTTAGCTGAAAACAAAGTGCTCGGTCAACAATGTGAGTTTATCGCACCATTCTACAAGCAAGTGACTACTAAATTACTCATCATAAACGTTTCCAGAGATTACTACTAGTACCCCTGACCTTACCAACTTCGCTACACTCAATCTACCCCTACACTCCTACTACTAACGCCCTACACTCTACCTAACTAAATACTCTTACGGTACCATACTACCTCTTAACTCCTACTGATACTACCCATTACTGAACTACCCCTACTTAACCATGTCTGACCCTACACTCTACCACACTCTAACACCTCACTACTACTAAACTAAATACTTACCTACAAACTACACTACAACTCACCTACTAATACTACGCCGTACACTCTACCTAATACTACATCATCATAACTAATCACACCTACACTCTACCTACTAATACTACGCCTACACACTACTACCTACCCTAACTCTACTAGCTAAACCCTACACTCTACCTACTAATACTACCCCTACACTCTACCTACTAATACTACACCTACACTCTACCTGCTAATACTACCCCTACACTCTACCTACTAATACTACCCCTACACTCTACCTACTACAATACTGACCCCTACCTCCTACTACTAAACTACCGCCATACACTCTACTAGACTATACTACCGCCTACACTCTACAGCTAACTAACTACTCCTACCTCTATACACCTACTACTACTAATACTACCCCTACACTCTACGCTACTAATACTACGACCTACACTCTACCTACTATACTACGCCCTAACACCTCTACCCTACTACTAGCTACCCTACACTCTACTCTACTAATACTACCCCTACACTCTACGCTATAGATACTACACCTAACACTCTACTACCTATAGAGAGAGAGAGAGAAGATGGCACAGCTCCTGATGTCTACGCCCAACAGTTAAGCGAACGCG